CAGAGATGTGTATAGCCACATAATTCATCTTTAAGATGAGCCTAGAAAGAAGTGTATATCTTTATTTTTCTGGAAGATATGAATTTTTAAACATTGGGGAAAAGAGGCTTCAACGCAGGTAACACGGTAATTTTAAGATAGGACTATACATATTTAATCGATTTTAAATGCTTTATTAATTTCGTTTTGCAACAGGTGATGGTTTTATTACATGCAGTAGAAAAGATTTTATTATATAGAGAATGAATCAAATATCTTTTGATGTTATTCTAAGTGTGTTCTACTCGAATTTTTAATTTTTCGTTTTCTAATAGTTTTATTTTCTAAATTGGATTCAATTGTAACAATATAGAAATATATAAATACACAGTATAATCTCAATCTGTTTTCTTTTTTACTACTTATATCCTATCTTTTTTATTTATCGGAACCCGTCAACATTTTTACGCTCATAACATTTCGACATTTTTCTACGACACCAATGTATGTTGTACATGTATATATGAATACAAATCGCAATACTGTTTTTTGCCGGTGTAGAGTCTACTTTTTATTATAATATTTATTATTTATCTTATAATATTAGCAATTACGCGAGAAGGTCTTGGAGTGCTAATAGATCGTGATCCGAAGGCTCTTCTTTCACTCTATAAGAATTCAAAGCGTAATGCCTGTGTAATGCCGCAAAACCTAATCCTGGATCAGTCTCCATCGTTTCTGTCACCGGGCTTGTAGCTCGATCGACATGCAGGTGTACATGATTTTTGCTTACCTATAACATATAATTTCTCTGAATCAAGTAATCTTTTGCTAACATTTTAAAGTTTCGCAAAATGTTATCCCAAGTTTAAAATGTTTCTTATCAATCACAGTCTTTCTTAAATTTAAAGCGAATGTATCACTTAAGACAAATTGTTAAAAATATTATACAATTTAATTATTTTTAATCTTTTGTAGGAATAAATGTCTAGTAATCTTAGTTAAATACATACTTCAAAACGTTGTTGTTTGTACATTGCCAATTTACGTGTTCCCGGAGAACTTTGTATTAGATTTTGTATGGTAGGATGAGAAATTCCGAAGAAATCCGCGCCCTTGGGCGCTATCGTACAAAGCATTGGAGAGATTGCTGTCAGTAATTTTGAGTGACATTCATCAGGGCTGGATCCGATTAATGGATGAGTTGGATCGTTATCGGACACTATTTCAAATCTGTAAATAATATAAGGTCTGTATATATGCCTATATTCTAATTTTTTCTGGAAATAATTCTTCAACTGTTTCTATACAATCTTGTATACCTAGGTGTTGGACCACCGTCTAATATCTTGCAGGTATATAAACTCTGTGTTCTTGGATCTCTCAAATTTGCGTACAGTCTCGTACTGCAATAACCTACTGGAAATATAAGTTCTTCTGTATGATATGCGATTCTGTCCGACACCACGTCGCCAAGAGAATGTATCTTAAGATCTCCTAACTCGATGGGGAACAATGGTCTTCCGTGTACATCCAGTGGAATCGACTGCACCATTCTTCTGGCAGTTTTGTTGTATCTCTTTGTCTTACTTTTCGGTTCTGCGATACAAATTATAATTCTTATGTAAGAAGGGAGTACAGTCACTAGGTTGCAAATATTTCTTATTGTACAGATTACAGATGGTTAATGCTAACATTGACGTTGGCTTATAGGATCTCTTAAACTTAGGATATTTTTACAGCCAAATGCTATAAAAAATACCTGATCCATCTGTGGATGTTCTCTTTTTTACTGTTTTTTTTGGCGTAGTACATTCTGGATTAAGTGATGGTGAATTTGCATTACTTGTTTGTGAACGAGCTAGACTTGTTGAGTTAGACTCCACCTCTCCCTGTTGTTGGCATAACTTGCGAAGAAGAAACAGCCTCTCCTCTTTAACCACCATCAAATTCTCCTGCATGTGCGCAACTTGATCGCATAGTGCTGCGTTTTCCTGCATCAGGATTAAGGTTATAATTAACGTATATAAAAACATCAAAATCATATATATCAAGTTTACATGTCGAGACTCACAAATACGGTATCCTTCACGATTCTCTTAAGTTTTCGGTACTTCTTCTTGTATTTTAGATTTAGCTGTAGCTCAGCATTCTTATGATAATCATTATAGTAATTATCATACACTTGGGCCATAATACGTTTAATGTTATCAATAAGATATTGTATAGATTAAAAAGACGTGTTGTATTGCTTTGTATATAACGTAACGAACGTAACGATGCTCTGACAAGTACGCGTTAGGTTAAGAACTCTGTCCAGCCAAAACCCCTGTACTAGCGCCAGCACATCCATTTTTGAAATGGGTACTAGGTATAAACGCAGCTACATCCATTTTCTAATATTGTCGATAAAATTATAACGTTGAAAATGAAAGTGATTCTAGTCTGTGCTACATCCATAAATATTTATTGCCAAGAATAATCTTTAATTCGAGTTGTGTAATTAGACGAGTAAATTTAAAGAAGAAATAAAATAAAAATAGCAATAATGTCCACTAACCACTTATCCATAAGATTCTTCAACGTTATATATTACAATCTACAATAATTTAATTTTACTCTTAAATTAAAATATATATACTCATTCTCAGAAAAATGCAAACTCAGTCAAATGATACAGGATTATTTGATACATTAATATACCTATTTCTTTCATATATCTTATATAACTTTATTTATCTCATATATCTTTCATAGTTTTCTCGATAGCTATTATCCGTCCTGTGAATACAGCCTCTGTAAAACGAACGCGTCGCGGGTCGACACGACGTCTCGAAGTTCTAAAAGCTATGTGAAGGTTCCGCGGCTGCGAAGCGTTTATATACTCAATTCGGAAGCCAGCGTCTATCCAATCAGAGAGCTTGGAGCGACTTGCAATTCTTGCAAAATTTAGTAAACTTATGAGAATGTAATTGTTCATTGTCAATTTGTAATCTTGTTGCATCTTTTTACGATCACGTATTTACAAACTCGAACTTTCTTTCATATATCTTATATAACTTTATTTATCTCATATACAATCTTTCATAGTTTTCTCGATCGCTACTATCCGTCCTGTGAATACAGCCTAAAACGAACGCGTCGCGGACCGAGACGACGTCTCGGAGTTCTAAAAGCATGTGAAGGTTCCACGGCTGCGAAGCGTTTATATACTCAATTCGGAAGCCAGCGCCCATCCAATCAGAGTGCTTGGATTGCGGGCGCAGCACTGCATTGCGCTCATTGACTAGAGCGCCACTGGTGAGGTACGCGCGAAGTGACTACTATATAAACGCACGTAAGTCGGTCGCGCGTAACATTTCACATCGAGTAGGGGGAGCGTCACGTTGCGTCGCATTACGTAGGGACGATTCGACAATGCAGTCTCAGCCCATACACTGCAAAAATAAAATGAATGAACACAAATACATTAGGGAGGAAATTCATATATGTGGATCAGCGGATACATGTAATCTATAACAAATTTATTATGTTTTTTTCTATAATTTTATATGCTTTATAATTAATACTTATTGCTTTGTCTTGCTTTATTTTAATGCTTCCAAGCGTTAAAATAAATTATCTCGATATACATATAAATTAATCTTAAAGCATACTGACAAAATTTACTTTTAAGAATAATTTCTTATTAAATATGAAGATTTAATATTGAAAATTGGTCTGAAATATAATTATCGCATGGCCACAACTGTTCGCCGCGCCCGGCGTTGCGCGTCGGCGCGTCGGCGTGGCGCTTGTTAAGCTGACCGCGTGCGGGACAAATTGCTCCGCTTCACTATCTTAATTACGCATTTATCCATACGTATGGCGTACGTTAACATACAGCGAACATATGGATAAACGCATAACTAAGATAGTGAAGCGGCGTAATTCGTCCCGCGTGCCGTCAGCTTACGCGAAACAAGCGTCGCGGAGCGGGCGACGCGTCGGCGGCGGTACACGTCTTGATTTCCGAACGAGTATTGCGATTACGCATATCCGATCGAATCAGATTTCGAATGCCGAATCTATATTACGCGCTAAATAGATGCAAAATTGATCGGATGCGCATTTCGCAATACTCGTTCGATCGAAAATCGAAATGTGTATATAGCGTCGGCGTCGCCGCGTGCCACTATTAACGCCACTCTCGCCGACGCGTCGCCGCGCGCCACTGTTGCACCGACGCCGCCGCAGCGCGTACGGTGGCGCATTGGTACGCGAACTGCGAAGTCGATCGCGCGGATAGACGAAACTATTCTAGAAGCGTTTCTTCTTTTATAATTTCAGATCTCGGTACGAGGTAGATCATCTTCGGAACGAGAGGCGTCGCGGCTAATATAATTGGTAAGTGGGACTTTGCATTTATCTAACATGTAGCATCACCGCAATATCGCCGTCGCCACCGCCGCCGACGCGTCGCCCGCGCCGTGACGCTTGTTTCGCGTAAGCTGACCGCGTGCGGGACAAATTGCTCCGGTTCAATATCTTAATTACGCATTTATCCTTAAGTATGGCGTACGTTACATACAACGAACATATGGATAAATGCATAACTAATATAGTGAAGCGGCGTAATTCGTTCCGCGTGCCGTCAGCTTATGCGAAACAAGCGTCGCGGCGTGGGCGACGCGTCGGCGGCGGTACACGTCTTGATTTTCGACCGAACGAGTATTGCGATTACGCATTCGACCGAATTATCAGAGTTCGAATGCCGAATCTATATTACGCGCTGATTAGATGCAAGATTGATCGGATGCGTATTTTGCAATACTCGTTCGACCGAAAATCGAAATATATATGTAGCGTCGGCGTCGCCGCGCGCCACTGTTGCACCGACGCCGCCGCAGCGCGTACGGTGGCGCTATTGGCAGTGGTGAAATAGACAGCGCCGGAAACGACACTTGCATTATTTTAATCGCATTCACGTTTCATTTGCAGAACGCGATGAACACGGAACGGATCGGCTCCGGAACAAGTGACGCCACGATTCACTTAATTGGTAAGTATAATATTTATTAGTAATCTCGCATTTAATTCGTGTAATACGGATTCGGCACTTGCTGATGAATCGATCGAACGCGTATTTCTCAATACTCGTTCGGTCGAAAATCAAGACATGTAACGTCACCGCCGCCGCCGCGTCGCGCGATAGACGAAGCCGCATCGCCTTTATAGCGTTAATCGTATATTTTTTTATTTTCAGAACGCAACGAACATAAGATCGTCTCCGGAGCGAGGAGTGTCGCGGCTAATATATTTGGTAAGTGATATTTGTATTTGGATTTGTCTAACACGCAGTATAATAAAATCGGCACGCAAGCATTGATGTTCGTCCGAACGCGTATTTCGCAATACTCGTTCGACCGAAAATCAAAATGTGTATAGCATCGGCGTCGCCGCGCGCCGCTGTTGCACCGACGCCGCCGCAGCGCGTACGGTGGCGCTATTTGCGCGTGAAATTGACCATGCTGAAAACGAAACACTTGCACTATTTTAATTGCATTCACGTTTCATTTGCAGAACGCGATGGACACGGAACGTATCGGAACAAGTGACACCATGATTCACTTCATTGGTAAATATAATATTTATTAGTAATCTCGCATTTAATTCATGTAATACGGATTCGGCACTTGCTGATGAATCGATCGAACGCGTATTTCTCAATACTCGTTCGGTCGAAAATCAAGACATATAGCGTCGCTGCCGCCGCCGCCGCCGCCGCGTCGCGCGATAGACGAAGCCGCTTCGCCTTTATAGCATTAATAGCTAGCACTTTTTTTTATTTTCAGAACGTAACGAACATAAAATAGATCGTCTCTGGAACGAGGAGTGTCGCGGCTGATATATTTGGTAAGTGATATTTGTATTTGCATATGTCTAACACGCAGTATAATAAAATCGGCACGCAAGCATTGA